AGACTTACGGATAAGGATTTCTCTCTACTGAGAATGAATAGTTCCAGATAAAAGACCTCTACACTCTGGGATTTAGGGTCCCTTCAAAATAATAGTGAGTTTTACACCTGGTTAAAGTGAAGTAAATTGACATCTCTCAGTTCATTCTTAAGTGTAGAAGGACACTTAAGAGTCATTTTAAGTAAGCCTCTACTATGAAAGATACATCAAATTAACAAATGGGGGGGAGATGCCAGAGGAAACAAATAAAGCAGAACTTCAAAAGATACCTATAACTTCAGAGATATTTAAAAATGCATTTCATCCATATAAAAAGAACAGGATGCTATGAAAACGAACAATCAGAGAAGAAGAAAACACTCTTGGGACGTACAATAAGGTTGCTAAGAGATAAAAATTTAGAAGACCAGTTAGAAGATAAAGTTGAGGAACTCTTTTCAAAATTAGAAAAAGGAAAATACTGGGGAAAAGTAAGAAAAATATTGAATCAATTTGGATTCCTAAAATCCAACCAATAGGAAACCTAGAAAGCAAGAATATAGAAAACAGAGGAGAGAAAATTATGAAGGAACCAGTGCAAATGGATATGCATCTACAGAGTAAAAGGGCCTATTAAGCCCCTAGCACAATGTACCAAAAAAAAGCCCCAATACTTGGGCACATTTTAATATTAAATATATGGAGAATATTCCAAAAGTTCAGATAGAGACATAAACAAGCAAACAAAAATATTATCTACAAATAATGAGAATCAGACTTGTACGAGACTTCCCCTCTACAACACTGAACACTGGAAGACAGTGGAGCAATATCTTCAAAGTTCCAAGGCAAAATGATTTTCTACTTGGAGTTTTCTGCTCAGGCAACCAACCACAAGTGAAAGAAGAATAAAATCATTATTTCCATTATTTAAGAACTTTGAAAATTCACCCTTTTCACACACAATTTTCTTAGAAAGTTGAGGATGCCCCAGCAAAACAAGAGTGTAAGATATGAAGAAGGAGACAGTGAGGTCCAGGGAGTGGTGAGTATTACCCAAGAACACAGTGGAGGATAGTCTCAGGATGACAGTTCCACACTGAGCAAAAAAGGAATGGCTTTGTGTTCAGAGGGAACTCAGTATGACTGCCTGCAAATAGGTTAAAGAGACTAGTGCAAAAGACTTAAAACAAATGCAGCAATTTCCCCACTCCTTTGCCAAAGGCATTCTTTTCTCAGTTCTGTCTTTTATTCTAGTATTTAGCTTCATGTACTTATTATTTGCATCTATTGCTATTTCTTGATTTATCGATTTTAGACATTATCTATTAACATCCTGCTGTGATGAATAAGCCCTTAACTCATACTTCATACATCTTTCCCAAAATATAGTTAAGACATTTTTAGGTTTTTTGTTGTTGTAAGTTTAAGGTACACACACACACACACACACACACACACACACATACCACCCTTCTTGTGCCACCTGACACAGTGTCTTTTTACTCCCTGTTGTGTACTGGTGAGCCACCTTCCCTTCAGTTCCCTTCTTCTTTGCTCTTTCTGTCTTCTGTAGCTTTACATCATCATGGTTAATAACATTTACAATTGTGCTGCATAATGACATCTTCCATTTTTTACTACAGATTGATTCTAAGGTTTAAATAAATAGTACTTATATTTATTATATAAAGATCAGCCTTTACACAGTATATACAAATGATACTTCTTTCTTCTACAGATTTTTTGTTTTCCTGGGATTTTTGGTTGCCTTTCCTTTTTAAAAGAGATAGATAGAAAGATAGACAGGTAGAGACATATCTTGTAGAGTATTTTGTATATATTCTAAAACTACAAAGGCAAATCATAGAAGAACTAAGAATCCTACTTGCAGGGATATGTGAAGTCGTGTGAACTAAAAGTTCATCCATCATAGCAGAAAGTCAATAGACAATGTCTACAATTGGTAAATCGAGAAATAGCAACAGATGCATACAATTTAAAGACAAGGAGTTAAAGACTAAGATTAAACATTAAAAGATTTAGAAAAGATTGCCTTGGGGGAGGGGGGATGGTTTTGTTTCATTTTAAGTCTCTCTGTGCTGTTCTTTTGAACGTATGTGCACATAATTTGATTGAAATGTAAAGCCATTTTTAAAAGAAGGAAGACACCAGAATTGTGTACTATAACAAGCACTATCCTTATTATTGAGATATCTGGATTCTGGACACTTATTTAAAATTTTACTGAAATGTTTTTGTGCAGTTTCAATAGAAAATGTTTGAGTTTTACAATCAAAAGACCTACATATCTTGATCTTGCTGTGGCAGCTTCCATAAGTCAAATTCACCTTACCAGTGACCTTGTGTGTATGTTCCCATTACTCTTTTAAGGCACTATTACATTTTGATCTGCATCTTTTTCACCTTACGCTTCTCCAAATATCGTGTGCAGTTCATGCATTTGGCATTAGAAAGAAAAAAGGAACTGGGATTAGAAGGGCAGGGCTAGAGGACCAACTGTTTACTAACCCTTAATTGAACAAGTCACTCAACTTGTCCTCAGCTGGGTGAGGGTACTCTGAAAATGTATTTGTGTGCACTTATAGTGTGATGTGAATAACAGATATTGTTCCATATGAACCAAAACTATGGGCTGCCCCGTCTTCCTGTCATGTAGCTCAAACCCGAGATGGAGTGGCACATGCAGTTCCCTCCCAACTTGTCCCCAAGGGGCCGTGAACTCAGCCTCAGGGCCGAGCTGTCCACTGCAGTCTCTCCAAGTCGGCCCAGAGCTAAGGCTCACTGACTTAGGGAGGAGGGGACTTAGTGGCTTGGAGACTGTCCTCCCCAGGCATCTTCCCCAGTGCCGAGCAGGGCTTCCTCTTCTGCCACCGTGGCTGAGCAGTGATTAATGCCAAATTAGTACCTTGCTCAGTGACCTTTCAGCATTTGCTGCTGCTCTCCTTCACTTCTCATAACTATTTGCAAATATTAGCTTCCCAGGCCGTTTCTCCTCATCAGCGACTTTCACAGATGACAAGCATGTCGTTAATCTGATTGGCATTCGGTTTATGTCCTTTGCCCCATCATGAATGTGCCTCTACTTTGGCATCTTCTCAGAAATCTGATAACGAGTCCAACAATCTCTACAATTTTATGAGGGGGAGAGTATCCGCAGGAAGGTGTCCAGGGCATCCCTGAAGGGCTGGTTGGCTGCAGAGGCCACAAGTTTGGGGAAGGTGAAAGCTGCCTCAGCTCTCCAGGGGACCCACAGATACATAAGACTCAACCTCACATCCTGTACTCTATGTATAGGTTAAACAAAGCGAATTTGTTGGCTCTGCCTGCATCAAGCTTGTGTTTGTGTTTTAAAATTCACCGCACCTTTAACGCAGAAATCGCAAACTGCTTAGGCAGTGAAAGCCAGGACACAGAGCCGTGAGAAGTCAGTGTTGAGAAGAGGGCGGTCCTCTCCTCGATGTTGTTCTCTCTCCATAGCCCTTACCACACTGCCAGCCCGGCAGCCTAGACCCTTTCATTTGCCAGTTCTCCTCCACTGCTCACAATTGTGGCAAGTCTCTTCAGCATGAAGTACAAATGAAACGTTTTGCATTTGCTGTCATTTAAATTTATTTTTATTTCCAGTGTCTTACATCTCCACTCTTTATTGAAATCTCTGTTCTAGAAATGTTTGATTGGTCTTCATTTTCCCTAAATAAACAGTAGTAAAGTCTACTGTGGGTAGTTTAATTTTGTTGTTAAATGTATTTTAGAGAAAAGTAGCAAAAAATATGTTATATTTTTCCCCCTTGTCACCAGAAGTATGAGCTAAATTATTTATTGTTTGGTACTCAAAACAGGGATAGACTCAGTATATTTACTTTTCAGAAAAGAAAAAGGGATTGAAACTGCAGTAACGGAACTGAACCTTTGTTAATTTAATACATTTGCTCCTGGGAATTACATTTGGACCCTTGTAAGAAAGCCAGCTGCTATCTAATGACACCGTGCCTAGCATAGTGCCTGACACATGAAATATTTGTGATATTGAACAAATTTGAAAATAGCAGGCAGACTAAATAACTCAATAAGCGAAGTCTTAAATCAATTAAGAAAAATAATAAAGCCAGCAAGCATTTTGGAAAATGCTGAACAGCTTAAATAAAGCCCAACAAAGTCCCTTAGCCATACAATGCATCGAGCACAGCATAATGCTGTCAGTGTCCACGCTCTCTAGTTCCAGGCTGTGGATTCCACCAGAGGAGACTCTGGCTGTGGCTAGGCCCCATCTCATGTAGTCTGATAAATCCAGAGACAACAACTATACCCCAAGGCTCCTCATAGTGGGTTCAGGTAGGGTCATGAGATTCTGTGTTTCCCATTGGTGTGACTTGATAATATCCTTCATTTGTCATGATCCAGTCATCCTCTTTTCTATACATTAGTTCCCCTTATCCTTAGTTTCTCTTTTCATGGCTTCAGCTACCCTCAGTCAACTGTGGTCTGAAAATAGGTGAGCATAGGTTTAGGTGGGTCTGAAAGTAGGTAAGTATAGATATTTTGAGGAAGAGACAGCATTCACATAACTTTTATTATGGTATATTGCTATAATTGTTCTATTTTATTATTAGTTCTTATTTTAATCTCTTACCGTGCCTAATTTATAAATTAAACTTTATCATAGGTATGTACGTACATGGAAAAACGTTGAATAGATGCTCTTGACTTATGATGGGGTTATGTTTTGATAACTTCATCATAAGCTGAAAATATAATAAGTTGAAAGTGTACTCACTTTCATAATCCCGTCATAAGTCAAGGAGCATACTGAGTGTGTATTGCTTTTGTACCATTTTAAAGTTGAACCATCATAAATGGAGGACATCATATATATAGAGGGGTCAGTGCTACCTTCGGTTTCAGGCATCCATTGGGGGTCTTGGAACATAGCCCCCTCAGATAAGGGGGCACTCAGTACTTAAAGAATGTCATGCAGATATCTGTTTTATCTGCCACAGGTGATACTGGCACACTTGAAACCATGGCCCCTGTCATCGTGGTTCCTCCAGGCAACAGAAGTGTGGTGGCTGGGTCCAGTGAGACCACCTTGGAATGCATAGCCAGTGCCAGGTACATGGCATGTCTTCCTGTGGGAATACTAAGACATATTGCCTGTGATGAGATGATGACAGAAGGAGATGATGGCGCATGGAGTTCAGTCCATCTGGGCTGTGAATGCATCCTATGGGCAGAGAGGCAACTGAATACCGTAACATCTCCCCAAGCCTCCTACTGCAACCAGGCAATGCATTTCAGTGCGGTTCTAAGTGGCAGCGGGGGCCTCCTGTGATACTCCAGCTAGGGAGGACAGAGGAGGTGAGGCCTCTAGAGAGCAGAGAGAATTAACTGCTCTTCTCCTCTGTCGTCCTAGGTATTCTCTGTCTGGTTTATGGTTGCTCCAGAATCAAGTTTGGATGAGCACGACTACCATGTAACCGTGTCCCCTAGCAGTATTTATTTTAAACATTCTTTTCCTGAGCAAACGGAATCATTAGCACTTATGGTCCATTGCTACTGCAATTAGCTATCCTTGCTCAATAGCCCTTGAGCAGAATGTATCATTGATGCATGCCGTGAGGGAGTAGAGTTATATCTGGATTGATTTTTAAATGTCCATTGTTCAACCCGCCATGGTTCCTGGTAGAATTAGCTTTGTCAAGCTTGTGCTGAATGCCTGAAATTATTATTATTGCCACCTACATGAGTCACAATTATTGTCACTAATGCCCTTTGTTCTCACAGGCCTGTGGAAGAGCTCAGTGTAAACTGGAAGAGAAATGGAGTGAAGATCACCAGTGGACTCCACAGCTTTGGGAGACGCCTCACTATCAGTAACCCGACGTCTGCAGACACTGGGATGTACATCTGCGAGGCAGTGCTGAGAGGGAGCGCTTTTGAACCAGCCAGAGCAAAAGCCTTTCTTTCTATCATAGGTAATGCCCAAGCCAGCAAATGGTGCTGTCAGCATCCTCAGATAGTATCCCCACACTGATGCTTCTGGGACAGCAAAGTAGTAGAACCTGTATTTCACCAACTTTATTTTTAACTCAGCAAATGGAGGTGAGGTTGAGTTTATCTTTGAAATACAGCCTGTTCTTCTTTTCCAAGACTTTAAATCCATTAAATCCAAACTGTTGATGTTCTGAGTATTTCCAAGAAATGTCCTTCTGAATACTTCCAATCATAAAGCTTGGAAAATAGAGTGGTAAAATCCTTGTCATATATGTCACTTCCTATTTTGACTTTTACACCGCTAAGCTTTTCTATAATGCTTACTTACTTGGCTATTATGATCAGTGTTCAGAAATTATTCTCTTATTGCTGTTACTTTTTGACCCAGAAGAAAACTTGAAACTATTGGATGTTACCTTTTGTTAAACTAAAAAGAGAGAACAGAGATGCTTTCTAAAAATGGGCAAAGTATTGTTTCTGAGCCAATGAGAATGAGGAGATAAAATGAATACATTTGAGTTACCCGGCATTGTATGGTGGCTAAGGAAATTCTAAACTTACTATCAGATTATGATAAGATTTCACTAAGTTGTGAGGCAAGTGTCTTTCTTTCTCTCATTTTTCCAGCTGCTGCCATCCATTTATTTTTAAGTGACTGATTACTGTTATAGTGACCTGTCTTCCTCAGAGGTAGTCACTGCTGATGGAAGTATGCCTTAGAGGTCAACTCTAGGAAGAAGAATCTCTCTCTCTCCTCTTCGGGAGTCAGAAGAGTTAAAAATAGGAAAGAGCAAATAAGAAGGAAACCTTTGGAGAGCAATAGCTCCCTAAATAATATATTTTGCAGTTGACCACTTTGCAAAATAAGGGAAAAAGACAAAAACAAGCTTCTATCTTCCTAAGAAACTCATAAGGAATACCGCATAAAAGACAGTTTGCCTTGACCATTTGCCTTGATCATGATCCATTTCTCTAAATCATTAGGAAATGACATTGTGCCCTGAATATGACTCTGCTAAATACAATACAATGCAAACCTGTCAGTGCCTCTGAAAGAAGTATAAGAATGTTAAAAGTATGAGAGAAAGCAGACTTAGAGTCACAAATCATTGTTGATTCTACACTAGGGATCTGAGCTAGTTCTTTTGCTGCCTTTCTCATCTGTTCTTTTGCTATAGATGTAAATATCACATCCTATTCTCTGCAAAGACTTTTTCATCAAGGTTGATCTATAGCCATATAAGCACAGCACATTATAGATTGAACCAAAATTAAAATTTGTGATCTGTAAATCTCTAGTAGACAAAACTATATTGTGTTAAAACATTTTAAGGTAATTTAAACAAGAGAAGAAATATATCTTCTTATAAACTAGAATGTTTGTTTGAATCATAATTCCTTTTTAAATTATTTAAATCTATCATATGAACTTGGGTTTTACATTTATATCTGAATTCCAAAGCAGATTGTTTTTGTGTTCTCCAGTGTTAGCATCTCTCTGTGTTCTGACTTTTAAAGGTACACGAACACACTTCAACAACTTACGATGTTTATTTAAATTCTCTTTTATTCATAAGAATTTGCTATGACGGATAGGATTTTGTGGTTGGAGCATACTAGAAAGCCCCAAAGAGAGTGTCTCTGACAAGTCAGAGGGATTTTGGTGAGATTACGACCCCGTGCCCAGCCATCTTACTGATTCCACAGGGCTGTTACCGGCAGACCTGTCAAAAGACCTATTGATGTGAACATGTAGATGAAAGAGAGCAGAAACAAATTGGCTCTCAATTACTTTTATTTCATACTGATGAGACGAGGCAGACTAGTTGCGGCTGCTTACCCCACCTGTCAAGTTCCCCGCCGTATTTCTTAATGTCTGTGGTTTTAACTGGAGCACCCAGCTTTGCTTCCAGGCACAGCCACACCAGCAGCCCCTCCACACCCTCTGGATCTCCTCCCGTTCTTCCCACTCCGCGCATGACCCAACACGCTCCACGTCACTGCTGCCCCTGACCACAAAGAGGCGGCCCCACATGTCCTTTGCCTTTCCTGCCTCGGTGTTTGACTTCCCTGTCTTTTTCGCAGCTTCCTTGGGCTCTGGAGCTAGCTCCGCCCCCCTGGCCGGGGAAGTGCTGGGGATTGACACCCCCAGGAGCAACCTCGATGGGCCTCTGAGGGAAGCTGGTGGTAGATACCCAGGTGCCCCACTCGCTATGGAGTTGTGCTCTATACTGGCTTCCAGAATATCCCCCTGGAGTGAAGCTCCAGTTGCCCACAGCAGGAGCTGCCATGATAACGTGCTCTTTTTCTGCTGACCTCCACAATCCCCTAATGATGTTTCCATCACCTGCCAAAAAAACTTGGCATCAAACTTGTCCGAAGGCTTGCTTCTGGGGGAGGCCTGCCAAGTCTGGGTCACATTCTTGCAGACCCCTGAGCACCTACTCATGCCTGTGCTTTGATGAGTGCCCCTCTGCCCCTAGGTGCCACCTTACCTAGCTAATGCAGGCTGTTTATCCATCAAGACTCCTCCACATCATCACCTCTCTGTGAATTTCTTGGTCTTGTTGACCAGGAAGTAGACTGATGCTCTGTCAGCCATGCCCTCATAAACTCTGGGACACACTTTGCAGCATTGCATGATGTATAACAATGTGGGCTCTCGAGGTAGAACTGGGTTTAGATTCTCACTGAACCGTTCACTGGCTTGAACAAGCGTCTTTGTCTCCATTGGCCTCGGTCTCCACATCTGTAAAATGGAAGCAATGTAGATAGTGATACCAGCCCATATTGTGAAGATTTGTAAATAAAGTAATGTCTATCGCAGAAGCACTAAAATCACAGCTTTGTTTGCTGTTAGTGTAACTCTTTTATAACATGTCACATTGTACTAGTTATTTACCAGTGATCAATTACATGACACACATTTTTCATATTTACTGTTCTGAAGTTGGGATGTTTCACACAATTTCTGGAAGCATTTTTTCTTTCTTGGGAATAATAAAACAACAATATCTCTAACTAAGGACAGCAGCATCTTAGATTCAGTGAAATGCAGCATAAGCATCTTCCCCTCCAGACCAACAGTTGCAGCATTTTCTCCTCATCACAAAGCACAAAGCACAAAGCAGTGCTGTCTACACACTGACCCTTCTCCCATAGGTGTGTATACTAACACACTGGTTCCTTCCCACTCACTCAAAAACTTGGGAGAGAGGGTGAGTTTTACTGGGTTGGACTCTTCTCCAGAGACTCTGGTAGGGAATCCACTGCCCATCTCCTCCAGGTTGTTGGCAGAAGTCAGTTCATGTGGTTGTGGGACTGGCTGCTGGCCAGGGGTCGCCCCAGGTTCCAGAGCTACTCACTCCTGGACCATCTCCAAAGCCAGTACAGTGGGCCAAGTCCTTCTCACATTTGGATCTCTCACTCTTCTTCCACCTTATCGCTCCTATTTCTAGCTGGAGGAAGTTGTCTACTTTTAGGGGTTCATGTGATTAGACTGGGCCCACCCAGGACAATCTCCCTATTTTAAGGTCAGATACCTTAATCATTCTGAAGAGTCCCTCTTGCCACATAACAGAGCAAACAGGTGCCAAGGGCTTGGGTGTGGATGTTTTGGGGTGCTGTTCTGCTCACTGCGGTGGACAGAGCACACAAGCATGGACAGGGAAGGTGAGCAAGGACAGGCCATGGGATTTGTTGCTTCCTAGGATGGGTGTCCTGGAGAGGAAGGGAAACAGAGCAGGGCGCATCTTGGGTCCTGTGGAGAGCTCAACACAGGACACACCCTGCAACTCGGAAGCCACATCCAGGCCCAGGGCCGGAAGCGTGACGCGTGTTTGGGGTGTGGGGACCGTCGCCACCATGGCTGCCTCCGTCAGGTCCACCCTGTAGCTTGTCACCTCGCGTCTTGGAAAGTGGGTGATGTGACCCTCGCTTTGGGGGCTGCCTGGGAGGTATCCCCACCTCCCATTCTAAGATTAGGGAACTGGAAGCTTGTGCCAATCCTGAAGCAGCTGCCATGGGCTCTGGGTCGTGTGGAGGGCAAACAGACTGTGCTGGCCTTTTCTGAACACTCCGATTTCATGCAAGGAGGAGAACCTTTGTCTGATGTCTTTCTCTTGTTTCAAAAGGGATAGAAGTGTTTGTTTCAGTCCTTAGCTTTATTGGCTGCAATTGTGATCAATTTTTTGAAGTCCACAGTAGGCCTGTGTTGGCAGGGTTACCCTTTCTAGGAAGAGCTGCACCCATTAGCTGAGACATATGCTTGCCCTCTTGCTCTTTGAAGAGTGAGTGGTTGAAAAAGTCAACGCACAGGTTGACTAATTCACATTGGGTTTCCCCCACTGTTAATCCAGTCTTTTCATGGTTAACATGCTTGGCATATCATATTCTTTATAGCCGACTACATATAAAGACAATAGTTAGGGGTAGGGAGAAAAATCTTCTGAGCGCCTCTTGAGTTAGGATAATATAAAGGGTCAGCACTTAGAGAACTGTACCCTATACAAGGCAGGAAGTACTAGAATGAAGACCAGAAGCTGTGCGGGCCTGTGGGGCCTTTGGCAGCTCCATGCCTACTCTGCTTGCTCAGCTACCAGGAAAGCTTTCCAGAACAAGGTAAGAGCATCAACCGTGAACAAACACGCCCTGCTGGTGCTACTCTCAGCTTTCCTAGCATTGAACTACTAAAACTCCCAAAGATATTGGCTCCTGCAACCATTGGCAGGCTGCCCTTCCAGACCTTGCCTGGGCCAAGGTACTGGGGGGCATGTGGAGTGGGATAAATTTTCATCCAACGGCACAGTGCGTGCCAGGCCCGTGTGCTAACCGGCTAGGGTAGAGGGAGGGCAAAGCTCAGAGAGAGGTACCTTGGCTGGGCCTAGAGGTCCTCAACGCATGTCCCAGCCCTGGAGCCATGGTCTTGGTCAGCCTGAGGCATCTTTCAGTCACTGTGTGGAGTCCTCTTCTCTCTGATCCCAGCAACATCCTTTCCTGGCACTTGAGGTGGAGCTCAGAGTGCTGGGCTAGACAGCATCTGCAGTCATTATCTCAGAGAAGGCAGTCTGGTCCTGTATTGCAAACTGTTTATATATATGGACTTTACATAATCAAAGTCCGCTTGGATGACTCTCGAGGGAATCAGGCTGAGTGAAAAAATCCAGTTCCAACGGTTACGTACCGTGTGATCCCAGTCATATAACATTTTGAAATGACAAATTTATGGAAATGGGGAACAGATTAGTGATTGCCAGGGGTAAGGGTGAGACTTGGGTGGGTGCGTGTGGTTAGAGAAAGGCAACATCCTTGTGCTGATGGGCCCATTCTGTATCTTAGTGTGGTGGTGGGCGCATGAACCTACACATGCAGTAACGTGTAGAACTGTACATACACCTTTCTCTTCCACACCACACCTGAGCACAAGCTAAACTGGGGGGATCTGACTAGACAGGCTGATTGTATCAATATCAATATCCTGGTTGATACTGTGCTATGGTTTTGCAAGATGTTATTATTGGGGGAAGCTAAGTAAAGGATACATGAGATCTTTCAGTATTATTTCTTATAATAGCATGGGACTCTACAGTTATCTAAAAATAAAATATTTAACAAAGAAAAGGAAAACCATAATTAATCCTGAGCAAATGTTGATGTTTAACATATTTTTTCCTTTTTCCCTCACATCCCTTTAATCGGACCATGACAGGAGGTATTGACTTAGTGTTCATGGATAAATATGGGTCAGGACCTGCACACAAGGACCTTGACAGGATGCAGCTACTGTAGAGTTAGAATATAAATAATGCTGCCTTCATTATTATTGATTAAGGAAATGTGACTGAATGGAGAATACTACGAGTTGTGCAATGAAAACCAGTTTGAAAAATGTGGTCATTACATTTTTGCAGTATTTCTTTAGGCCTGGTCTATACACCCACACACAAAAAAAAACTAGTAGAGGATTCCGCTTTCATCTAGTGAATTTGCAGCCACTCCTCAGCCAGAGTGGATAATTCAGGCAGATTGTTTCTGCTTGAGTGGTCCAGGTAATTGCAGAATTGATACCTAACTTTGCTCCATTCAGAAACCTTCAGCCTTTTCTCCTTAATCATTTATTTGAAATGCTAAGTTTTCATTTCTCTTTTTTCTCCTTTGGGTTCCACCTTGCTTTGAAGATACAGTCAATATAGGAGGCATGCCAAGCTATATTATCCACATTGAACACAATTACAATGAAAATAAACCATTCTGGAAGATAGTTTCCAGAAATTAATTATCACACTGAAAGTGAATACAACAGCCTTTTGTTATCATGATAATGAAATCACTACCACCTTAATACTCGACAAAGTTGGCCATGCCTTTGTTGAATTTCTGCTTAATAAACTGAGAAAAATATCACAATTTACTCTCCAAGGAAATTCATTGTTTAATACAACCTTTTTTTTTTTTTTTTTTTTGCTGAGCAGGCAAGTGGAGTATCTAGAGATACACAAGTGGTTAAGGGTTTCCTTTGCTACTAAAGATGCATGAGAGGTCCCCTATTTTTTTCTCCTTGCTATTATTTTACATTCCATTGAAGTATTAAATCTATATTTTGTAGGAGAACTGCTAAGACTTTAAAAAATATGTTAATGGGCCGCACTATTCCCTGATACAGGCCGGGCGCCTTGCTCCGGCACTTTATTTGACATGCTTCATGAGTTGGTGTTTAGTTTAGATACTGAAGCAAACTAGCCTATAAAATACGGTGCTGTAAATATAAACCTTTATGAACCTCTTGGGGTAGTCCTTCTAAAATGTGAATTAAGATATTCCATGATTCAAGCCCATAAACTGAAAAATAGCCATCACCCTGAGTAGTAATTTGCTTTCTGAAACCTTAGAATATAAATTGCCTTTGGCCTCTGCTTGCTGAAGTCTGAGTTTATGTGTACAATGGTAACTAATGATGAAGTTCTTAAAAATAGTATTGAAGAGGAGCTCAAAGTATTTTAGGCTGTGTGGTCTCTGATACATTCTTTTGCTTAGGCACTTTTCTTTTTTTCTTGTTTAAAGAGCCACCATATTTTACAGCTGAACCTGAGAGTCGGATTTTAGTTGAAGTGGAAGAAACCGTGGACATTGCATGTCGAGCCATGGGTGAGTGTGGAGACAGTGTTGGATGAGGAGCCATGATGTGGAGGAATTAAAACACCTTTCCAGGACAGAAGTTTCATCATTCTAGGGCATCGTTGAATACGATGGATAAGAACAGACTTTGGAGAAAAGTAGAACTCAGTCACTGGGCATGTGACCTTGGGTAATGTGCTTGACCTTGCTGAGCTTTTGTTTCCTAATCTGCTAAACAGGGATACGAATATCTACCCAAGGGAGCAAAAAGGTAGGCTTCAGCCCATCCATCCAAACAGAGAGGACTCAGTCTTGTCCTGTTGACTCCTCTTCAAACACTCTAATTCTACAAAAGCATGACCTCCTAAGACTTGGGGCAGAAAATTCATGCTCATTCATGGGGTGATTGGGACTGGTGACCAAATCCACTCTGTAGGAAGGGAAATTTGTTTAAATTTATTCTATTTGTAAAATTTTATGGAGTACAGATGTAGTTTTGCTATGTCGATATATTGCATTGTGATGAAGTCAGATCTTTTGATGTAGAAATGAACGTGCCTGCACTCATTACATAATTTCTCATCACGCCTTCTGCCCCTACATTTCCAAGTCCCCACTGTCCATCATTCCATACTCTATGTCTATGTGTACACATTATTTAGCTCCCACTTATAAGTGAGAACATGTGGTATTTGTCTTTCTCTGGGTTGTTTCACTTAAGATAATGGCTTCCAGTTCAATCCATGTTTCTGCAAAAGACATGGTTTCACTCTTGTTTATGACTGAATGGTATTTGAATAGAAATTTTTCCCTTTTTTCCCTGCCCTTTCAGTTCTGGATCAGCTTTTCCCTTGTTATTCAGATAGTTCCACCCCTCATCCCCATGCCCTGATTACTATCTGTCCATGGTCACCATTTCATATTGGGCAGCAGGTGATGACACAAAACCCCCTAACTGAAACAGGCTTGCCAAGGCAATTTTATTAACAAAACCTGTGTTTGTGTTCTGGCAACTGTCAAGAGATGAAAAGGACCTTTTATTTGTTGTTTATGCCTGTCCACCATAAGGATGGGTATTTTTTTCCACCCCCTAAAAGCCTGGAGGGTAATGATGACCACCAATTCTGTAAATCTTCAAAACACCTCCAAAAAGAGATGGTATTATCTCACTGTCAACATACGGAAACCAAGTCTTAGAAAGTAAGGTGAAGTAGCGTGCCCAAGGCACAGAGCCATGAAGGTGAAATGAGATATTTCTCTTGTGAAATCATTCCCCGGTGTCTGGCACATGGGATTTGCTTATTAAATGCTGGGTAAGTAACTTTCCTAGGGTCACATGGTGATGGAGACAGAATCCAAACCCAAATCCATCAGCCACCAAAGCATGTGTCCTTGCCAGGACACAGGCCTCCCCCAGGATCTGAGGCCCTGGAACATAGAACAAATGCCATTTGTCTGTACATACAACCACATGGATGCCATTTGTTATTTCTGGAAATGAGTGGTGTGTCATCCATTCGGTGTCGGTGGTAAAGGGAGAGACCAGCCTCTTCCCAGAAGGCCCCTCCCCACTACACTTCATGCTTCGTAACAACTGCTGCTGCCGCAGGACTTGGTTCAGTGGTGGTTCTGGTGGGTGCCTAATAGCTGCTGTCTACAGATCTGTTCTGTTTTGTTCTTCTCTGTTCTAGCTCTACTGATGCAGTGCAGGGGAGGCGAGACAGGGATGAGAGGAAAGTAGTATGAATTTTAAATGGAAATATTTTCTTACTATGGTTGTATTGTTCTCTTTCCAAGTGCCAGGTTCTTAAGGCCAACAAGTCTGTGAATGCAAAGCTATAAAATATTTACAGTGCTTGTATTTTAGAAATAAGTATATAATACTGTGGGGAATAAGATTTCTGTTTATGACATTAAATTTCCCCAAAATAGAAATACTCCTAGTTCCCTATGTACTAACAATTATTTTTGAATAAGTGACAATCTTAACTCTCCCTTTGACAAGAGAATGCTCTTTTTTGCATGATTTCTACAGGGTAAACTGCTTGTTAAGTATAGACTTATAAATATATGTAGAAAAGGTCTTTCAACATTACATTGTCATCGTATAATTTACTGCTTTCTTTTAATTTTGACAATGAAACTATATCAGCATGTGAAGTGGTTATTCTTTATGAAAGCTACATCATGTAACTGCTATTATGAGGTTGTAGATGAATTGGTTATGCTTTTACCTTGAAATGGATTTTTAAAATTTTCTGATTTAATGAAAACTGACAGGAAACATAATTAAGGCAAAGAACAGAATCTGAGAACACATTATCTTGAAATATTCCATGACATTAACTTTATTTATTAAAGTAGACATCTCACACCTATCTACACAGCATCTTAAATTAAGGGATTTTGGTGTGCTTTCCGCCAAATCATGTCAAGATGTATTTTTTTTTTAATTTAAGTTCATCTTATATTTTGGGAAACTGAGGTACAGAACCATCTGAGACCTAGAACTTAGTCTAGATATTTCCTCACTTTTCCCACAGACCCACAACAGGCATACATGTGCCTACCATTTCTGGACTTTGTTATCTCATGTGCCTTGGTCTGCTTCTACATAGAGTCTCTCTCTACCCAGTTTTACTTCCTGGGTGGGCCGAACCCTCTGTGACTTAAGGAAGGATAGGGGAAGTCCCCAGGAAGCAGTCCTCCATGGTTGCTAGTCTCCTTGGCCACTTGGAGAAGCCACCCAGAGAAGGGCCTAGTGTTTCCCCAGTCAGGGCTTGTGCCATGCAGCGAGGGCCTTAGGGAACACTGTGGCAGCATTCGTTCATCAATGCCTGGTTGTGTGTGCTGGCCACAGGCGTGCGGTGGGCAAACAACAGAGTCCTCAGGCTCTCAGGCCGAGGGTGGTCCCTTTCATTGACCACCCCGGTTCTGCCCCTTGTGAGCTCATCTTTTGTCTACTTGTATACCCCTCTCAAACCAACACTAAGTCTCATTCTGGGTGGGGCTGGCTGTACGTGTAGAGCGCCAGCCTTGCTGCCTCGAGGCCTTACTTCTTGCTATAACACCATTGAGCTGAGGAAGGGGCAGTTGGGAGGGTGCTGTGCATTTCACCTCAGTCTTTCCACCCCCCACCTTCCTCTTGGTCACTGTGCCATGCTCACTTTGCTCTTGGGGTGCAAGGATGGCACCACCCTGCAGCCTTACCTCCTCATCTGTCTAGACTCGCATCTGTCTTGTGGCCTAAAGCAATTTTTCCTATGTTCACAATGTCACACCTTTTGTGGCTCATTGACCTTGGACCAAACACATCTCCTCCACTTGTTGCTTAGCCTAATGATCACTTGGAGATGGTGGAATTCCGTTAAGGTCAAGTGATATCCAACTCCTTCAATCGAGGGTGTTTAAAAAGTGGCACTCATTTTTGTCATTGTTAGGTGTCATAATGAATGCTTACTGCGCATGAGCACTCACCATGTGCCAGGCATAAGCATTTCATTCATATGTACATATGTATAAACATGTAATGTGGCACATACACATAATGGAATATTACACAGCCATAGCGAAGGACCAACACATGGACCTGGATGGATTTAGAGTCAGTAATACTCAGTGATTTATCACAGAAACAAAGAACAGAGTACCACACGTTCTTACTCATAAGTGGACCCTGAACATTTACCATAATACTGTAAGAAAGAGATTGGCAGTAGCAGGATACTTCCAGGGGAAGAGGGGGACACAACATCAGTAAGGGTAACTGACTCACACCAGGGAAAGTGGGGACCAAAGAGAGGCCCAAACAACTCTACCTGTATGATACCCACTCATATACCTAATCCTGAATTGTACCCTACATCTTTAAAATAGAAAACAAAACAAAACACAACATCTAACCTTCAAGCCTTTTGAAGTCATGACTGTTATTTCCTTGCCCACATGTTGAGGAAACAGCGACGGAGATAAGTAATGTACTCTGCCCAAGATGCCACAGTGAGGAGCAGACCTGGAATTGACCTGTATCCTGCCTTCTGTCCTGATGACCTGGGCACAGGCCCTCCTGCGGCAGCAGAATCGAGGCCTTCTGCAGACAGGCCTTCATCTTAGTCTGAACACTGAAGTCAGTCACCATTGGAATCCCTTTCTTTCCAAACAAGAGCACAATCTCTGCAGGTTCAGAGTAGAGCCTGACTACTTGGAGCTCACTCTGCCCTTCCTCTTCACACCTCTCTGTGTTGGTTTCTTCTCATAAGCTGAGAGAAATGACTCCTTACAGTGTAGTTGAAAGGACTAATAGACAAGAAAATGCCTATTAAAATGTTGCCATTCTAGCCTTTGAGACAGTTGTGCCTCAGTCCTCATATAAGGAATTAATTGTTTAAATGACGTTTATTTCCGTTCCAGGGGTCCCCCTTCCCACCCTCCAGTGGTACAAGGATGCCATCTCCATCCACAAGCTCCAGAATTCTCGCTACAAAGTGCTCTCGAGCGGGGGCCTGCGCATTCAGAAGCTGCGTCCAGAGGACTCTGGAATCTTCCAGTGCTTTGCCAGTAATGAAGGAGGAGAAATCCAGACCCACACCTACCTGGAAGTAACCAGTGAGTACCCCCATCAGGAAAACCAGACAGCTAGCCTGGGCCCTCAGGCCAGAGCTTCCCCTGCTTTGCCCCCTGGAACACACAGAAAATGGTGGTATCTGCTCAGTCCCCTGAAGTAAACAGACAGAGGAGTGTGGCCAGAGGGGGGTTATTATGCCTCAGGCACACCTTGACCCATGGTTAGGTCCTGTAGGGAAACTACTGCAGCCCATGAGCAGCAATGGCACCCAGTCGTTTCCCCAGTCCCTGGTGCCCTCCCTGTTCTCATGCGAGCCTTGCTTTTTCCAGCACTAAGCCCTCTTCTTTCTTGAGGAGAAGTAAAAAAAATTCCTCACTTTTCTGGATGGAATTGGAAGGACTATTGAGTGAATAGTTCACTCCCAATCTCTTTCTTTGGTCTTTTTTTATGTTTTAAATGCGTTCTCTATTTTAGTTTTATTGAACAATTATAGTTCTTTTGTGAGTTTCTTTTATTATCCCATTAACAGAAATACCTTGGTACTCTGTCTTTGAAAAATAAAATAAAGGTAAAGGTTTTCATTGTATCTGTGGGTTTTCTTTTTAATCTCCCATGGTTATACAATATTGTTCTTCTTAAAATGAAGTAGAATTTAGTGATTATGGAATTATACCTTTCATGTTTACCCTTTGGGAAGCAAAATGCTAATATCCTCAGGTGTAAGAGCTATTTGAGAAAGCAAATTGGTGTCATTGTGTGCTTGGCCTATGACTTTTACCATCCAGAACTTGTAGATCCTTACACATTTTTGGTCAACTATGGCTCACTTCCTTGAATCTTGCCCAGGGATCAAATTTGTCTTCCAGTTTGGAGTTTGAAAAACCAATATTGCTTCAAGCGGTAGTAATAATAATGAGTATGTAAGCCAGAAACTGGGTTTTGATCAATTAGAATTATTTAAAGCCTATCTTGTAGTTGTGGGCCAGAATGTTCTGGGGTATGGATTGGCAAGCTTTTCTGTAAAGGGCCTAATAGTAAATATTTTAGGCTTTGAGGGACATGGGCCACTCAACTCTGCTATAGTGGTGTGAAAGTAGCCACAGACAATTGTAAGCAAATGGGAATGGCTGTGTTCCAATAAAACTTTGTTTACAGAAATAAACAATGGGCGGGATTTGGCCCACAGGTTGTAGTTTGCCGGCCCCACCTTTAGTGAGAGACCTAGGAATTAGAAGATAGGGCGACCTAGAGTGCATTACTTAATTTCTCTCAACCTCAGTTTTCTCATCTGTTAAAATGGAATCAACCCAGTCCAATTTACAGGATTTTCATGAAGATCAGATTAGAAGTGTAAATAAAAATGTCCCTTAAAGTGGTTACCATGGCAACTGGTGAGTAAACAAACAAATGAGTGATCCTGATGATGCTAAGTTATCTGTTTTGTAAGTACAGAGTTTTGCTAAATGAATTTTTTTTTTTTTTTGAGTTAGCATCTCACTCTGTCTCCCAGACTGGAGTGCAGTGGCCACTCCCGGCTACCGCAGCCTCGACCCACTGGGCTCTGGCGATCCTTCCGCCTCAGCCTTCCAAGTAGCTGGAACTACAGGTGCACGCTACCATGCCCAGCTAATTTTTTGATTTATTGTAGAGATGAGGTCTCGCCAAGTTGCCCAGGTGGGTCTTGAACCCACGGGCTCAGGCAATCTACTCACTTCAGCCTCCCAAAGCGCAGGATTACAGGCTGAGCCACCGAGCCCAGTTTAAATGAAATTTTTAAATTAAAATACCTTTAATAAAAGGAAACCGTGTGTTTAAAAAATCAATATTTATAAGCTCATTTAGCAAACGGCTATTGAGCATCTGTGTCAGGCCCTGTGGATCAGGCTTTGGAGACATGGCTGTGAGGAAGACAGGTGAGGTTCCTATGCTTCCAGGACAGAGGGTGGTGGAGGGAGGAGAATGTCAAGAAAGGACAAAATGACTCCAGCCAAGCAGGAGTGCTGAGAGGAGGGGCACAGGTGAGGTGGCAGAGTGAGCAGGAAATCTCCCCTGGGCAGCAGTCAGGAAGGGGGTCTCTAGGAGAGACCTGAAGAGAAGAAGGAGCCAGTCATGTGAAATCTTGGGAATGTAAATGTCACAGTGCAGGGGGGCTGCAAGAGCCTTGGAGAGCAAGTTCGGCATGCACGCAGGTAAAGGAGGCAGGTAGATGGAGCCTGATGGAGCACAGTGGCTATGCAGAGGGTGGAGGGATAAGCGGGGCCAGAGGGCCCAAGAGCCGTGGGAGGCTTTAGGAGCTTTGATTGTGGCAGAAAGGCCTTTGTAGCTTTGTAGCTTTCAACGGGCAGCCTGAAGGCTGGGTGTCTCATGGACTGGGAAACAGGCACAGAAGCATTGAGACCAATTAGCAAGCCCTGCATCGTCGGGCAAGACCTAGGACTCAGGTGGTCGCACAGGAGGCAGAGAGTCATGATCAGCATCAGGATGTGCCTTGGCAGTGGAGTCACTTGGACTTACTGTGGTTTGGGAGACTCTGGCCAGAGGCAGGAAGAGGCGGGCAGCTGTGCCTTGGACTGCTGAAGGCCTGCCTGCTTCTCCCCATGGGGGCATCCACTCAGTACCTTCATATAGGACTTGGGAGATCATGGCTGTACAGGATTTGCTGGTTGTTATCAGGTAGTACAATAAGGTAAGCCCAGTACTTAGGACTCACAACCCCTCCGGGGATTGATCTTTATTGAAATCTTTGAAATCTGGTTATTTTAACTTTCAAAACAGCTCTTAGAAAGTGTGAAAGTTTCATCTTGCGGATGACATCTTATATTCAAAATTAGCTTTTTCTTTCATTTAAAAATTGAAAGAAGTGTGTGTGTGGTTTATCTAAATTAATGCTGCTCCTCTTTTTAACATTCATTCACCTAAAAAAAAGTTACTCCTCTTTTTAACATTCACCTAAATTTGTTCTCCTGGCCCCTTCACCTTTCCACTGTGTATCCATTTCATCATGATACTACATTTTCTCTTCAGGCTATGAACAAAGATAGGTAATTCCTGGGAGACAAATAATGGTGGGTTGGCTATAGTCACTTCCGAAGGTTTTCATGTTTTATTGCCACAGTTATTCTGTGATTGGTTCTATAAAACCCATGTGGAATACCCTACCAGTGTGGCTTAACCATTCCTGAAGGAAGAGGCGCTGATCATACTGTTGTTTGACTCCTCAGATATAGCTCCTATGTTCACCCAGCGTCCAGTGGACACCACGGTCACTGACGGGATGATGGCCATTCTAAGGTGTGAGGTGTCTGGGGCTCCCAAACCTGCCATCACATGGAAGAGAGGTGGGTAGCTTCTGCTTTCTACAACAGCATGCCAGTGAAGAAAATGAATGAATTCATTGGGCCAATGGTTGTATTTTGTTATTCTCCCTCTCATTCATTCACTCACTTATTCACCCAATAAAGATGAAATAACCATTTATTGAATGCCTACAGGTGCTAAATGCCAGAAGTATGAGTAAATAAGACAGATAAGCCCCCTGCCTTCTAGAAACAGAAACACACATTAACAACATAAGAAAAATAGTGTTGATGTCACTCTCCTCTACCCAAGCCCCTCATAGAGTGCCCCTGGCCTAGTAGGGATCCTTGAAATGTTAAGCACTGGATTTGAAGTAACTCTGCTAGGACTCAGTTTTCCCATTTGTAATATGGAGCTCTCCTTTATAATATTCAAAATTAAGAATCATGTCCTTTTATTTTTTTAAGAAAGATAGATGCTTCTAGCACAGTGTCTTTTTACGCCCTCCCCAGTTTGATGTGTGAAGATTAACCCCAACGGCACGTTCAGTTCCTGGGAAGGTGGTGTCATACCACAGGTTGTCTTTGTAGCTTGCACAGCTCCTTCCACAAGTGCCGTTTCGAGCGGCACAGAGTCTATCCTTAACAAGTCTGTGTTGAGTCATTTTGAATCGCATAGATTAATCATACTTGGTGGACTATATCTGGGTATAATGTCAAAAGTTTTATTTTTCCTTGCTACCAGAAAACTGCATGGTGGCTTCTCGGGTCTCATAGGTATAATCCGTGCACTCAAACATAGTTCATAAACATAAAGATCTAGAAAACTGCAGATCAATAAGAGGGGTGGGGTTTTCTCTGATTTTCTGTATTTTCTCTGTTTTATTTCCTTATTTTGAACTTAATATTAACTTTAATGTTCAAATACATAGACATATAAAGAAAAATAAAATCCATCACCAAAAATAATCACATTTATAGATCATAATATGTTTAACCAAAACTCTCAATATGGAACAATTAGGATATTCTTGGGTTTTGTTATTCTAAATAATGCTAAGGGGAACTACTTCAGTTATTTTTGTGCATGAAATTTTCACTTTATTCTGACTATTTTCTTAAGTTATTTTCCTGGTTATGGCGCTAACATTTCTGTCAAGTATATGGCTCTAACATTTCTGTTTTCTCTACTCTTCTTCAGAAAACCACATTTTGGCCAGTGGCTCTGTCCGGATTCCTAGGTTCATGCTTCTTGAATCTGGGGGTCTGCAGATCACCCCTGTCTTCATCCAGGATGCCGGTAACTACACTTGCTATGCAGCCAACACAGAGGGCTCCCTGAATGCATCCGCAGCGCTGACTGTGTGGAGTAAGGATTGTCTCTGCGAACCTTCCATTAATCATGGTTTAATCATCATGTCATCTATGCTTTAGGGATGTCAATATGCCCTTGGACTTTCTAATTTAATCAAAAGAGAATTATTATTTTTACAACTAATTTATAGAAATCTGTTGAGTAATTAAATTTTCAGCTTCCAAAAGAATAATTAGAAAATGTACTCAAAGATTTAATGGGGACGTTTCAGGAGGGATAAAAGATTGACTTTTTAAAATCAGTGAAGTAGAGTAGAGAGGTTATACCAAACTAGCTCAAATAACAAGACTGATGTATTGGTTAATTTTGTAAGCATTGTGTAAGAAAAATGAATTAAGAATTAAAATCCTAAAGAAAGCATATTTTTCTATACTATTATGATTAACTAAAATACTTATAGTATTTTAACTATGAATGTTTCTTGTGTATTGAGTGAACTGAAAGAAAAATCTTCGTTTCCTCAGCTTTGACTATTCTTTTATTATTGATAATAGAGGTTTCTGAAATGTAGAATTAATTGTTTCCTGGAACATAAGGATTGTAATACCAAATACTTTCCCCCCTCCCATGTTTTAGCATCAATTGCTAATATACTTTTTCCTCTCTGCTTCATTCAGATTTATATACTAAAAATTCATTGTTCAAAAAAGCAAAAGAATGCTCACTAGCAGATTTTATAAAACTATACAAGGAGAGAAAGTTTTAACTTGCTTGTGTGAATAATTTGTCAAAAACCCATTTATAAGGAAAAATTAAATTATTGTGCTTTGTTTCATATTTGTTTAACATTTTCTATCATATAGTTGGTATCCATTTTGATAAATGACCCTTTCTAATTTATTAGGTGTTCTAAAAATATCACAAGTTTAAAAGAAATTAATCCAAATTCCCAATATATTGCCAAGTACTAAAAAAGAGGTTTTGTTCCATTTGGTGGTTGACACTGTCAGTCACTTCTGATTCATCCTGTACCCTCTAAAAATTAACTATACAATTAAAAGTGATAAAGTGACATCTAAATCTCTGTAGAGAAAATTTTGTGGCTCTGTCAAGATTCAAAATTATCACAACACTAGCATGACTGGTATACCACTTTGGGGCTTATAGAGCATTTTCATGCACTTTACCTATTTTAATGCATACAACTGTTGATGGCCTTAGCATCTTCATAGACAAGAAAACTAAGGCCCAGAGATGATTTTTCTGAACACAATGTTAGCAATAGTCAAGCTTGACCTTGAACTTAGCCTTTTGACTCCCAAGTTCCAGGATGTGTTCCTGGCACTCGAGTCCCCACCTCATACTGGTTTGGTGGTTTACCAAGCCACCTGCTCAAAAGGAGTGTTTAGCTTCTGGAGCAGGTGTTTGGCTTGGTGGTGATAGGCAAGCCACAGCATTTCTGAGCATTTGCTTTCTTTCTAGGAAACTGGTAGTAGTAATAGTACAGCTCTCATATGATTGTTGTGAGAACAAAATAAAACAATGTTTCGTATAAAACAATGAAAGCACTTGGCAAAGTCATAAAGTACTATGCAAACTTTAGAAATTACTGGAATGATCATCTTGAAAAAGAATCTAGATGTTAACCAAGAGCCTAGAACCTAATAAACATTTGCATATGATCTTTCAGGCTCATTTTCTTCTGGAGTGTTTGAGGTTAAAGATGGCCTAGGAGGGGTGGGATGGATTGACTTAATTTTGCTGCAGTGTGGAAGGCTTGTTTTCAATTCCCTGAGCGATCTTAACTGCTTCCTTTTACACTCGTTCTGCCAACATAAGAGAAAACTTGGAGGTTTTGATATCAGATGACTGATTTGTTATCCCCCTGGGTGCAACTTTCAAACTTGTCATTTCATCTAAGTTATGACTTGTGTTTTTTCAGATCGAACATTCATTGTCCACCCTCCCGAGGACCACGTGGTGATTAAGGGGACCACAGCCACGCTGCGCTGTGGAGCCACACATGACCCCCGGATTTCGCTCCGGTCAGCACAGTCAGTTACAATGCTCTGGGGCTTGTTAATATTCTGCGTGCTTAGGAAGTAAAGTTGAGATGAGAAGGAAGAATTTGGGGAACTTTGATTTCAGCTGCAGGTCCCGATTATGGCATCTTATAGTTGTGGGCTTGTCATTAATCACACAAATCCCATTTTCTACCACAGCCTTATGTATTATTTACAGTGAGCTATGTTCCACTCCATGATTTCAATACAGCTTTTCATGATTTTTTCTGCCAAGGTTAATACACTATCTGTAAAACGTACTTGTCAGAGACTGATACTTAATGAGGGAAAAATCCAGAGGGATCGAATAGGATTTCTGCAGTGTTTACACGGGGGCTGTGCAATACTCCAGAGGAGTGTTCTTTACTCCAAGGATAGTTTCATTGTGAGATGTGGAGCAAGGGAGACCTATACATAGGAGAAAGGCAACCATAGTACCTAACACTCTCAGAGGAAAATATGTACACAGGAGGAAGCTGGGTGACTTAAAGAGACTCTACAGGATTTGTAGTATCCTGTCTTTGTTTGAATTCAGACCAGGAAAGTAACAGTGCAAAAGATGACACTCCAGGTAAAGGCTTGGCAGCAAACAGGTGGCTATCAGCAGTGAGTTTTTCGTGTCAAGCAGCCACTTTAAAATAGTTAATAATTTTGGGAATCAGCCTTGAAAATGTGTCAATCAAGAAAAATTCAATCATTACCGTATTTTCACTTGAGGTTGCATGGAGGTAGTCAAATGGGTGGACTCAAGATGCATTCCTGCCTCCTGAGGCATCTCACTCTGATCAGAGGGGATGGCTGTTGGCACATATGTCATCAGTGGGACTCAGAGACTAAGCTGCTCTCTCACTCTTCTTTACCAGGTGTATGGCAAGTCATAATTGTCCATATTTCCACTTGGCTTTCTGGAGTTTAGCACATTTTTCTTTTCACATATAGACTAAATTAAGAGCCTGCCCAGTCTTTAGATGTTTGTGGACAGGGCCACTACTCTCTGCTACATGGAATGAAAGTGTTCTTTTTCTTTTCCAAAATAATTTGATCAGATTTTTAAGATATACCTAGTTCTTTAAAAGCTTCATATTCACAAGCACAAACATTTACAAACTACTTATCTGAAATAACCCTGAGACAGGACAGGACTCAAAAACCAAGTTTGGTTTAGGTGCAAGGATGCAGAAAGCAAAACACAAATGAACGAGCAAAAATAGCAAGTTAAAGATTACCTAGAGAATCTTTGGGGGCTGTCTTAGAGGCAGTTATCATTTCTGGAAAAGAATTCATTCCTTTGTAAATGATTTGGAGAATGATTTTAAGTTGTCTTCTACTATTCTGAGAGCTCAGAAAGAATCCCCTTGGATCTTTCTGGGTTTCTTGTAGCTATTTATATGTGATTAAATTGGAGCCCCTTCTTGAGAAAGAATTGGATTATTCACTCTTGGGGCACCCTTGTTCCAGGTTTTCTCTTCACCAGTGAGCTCCAGGCCGTAAGTTACAATTGCAACTAAATGCTGGCAATGGAGGGAGCAACCTAATCACTCTTTCTTGTGGAATCGGTCCTGTCCTGTCTCAGGGTTGTTTCAGACAAGTAGTTTGTAAATGTTTGTGCTTGTGAATATGAAGCTCTTAAAGAACTAGGTATATCTTAAAACTCTGATCAAATTATTTTGGAAAAGAAAAAGAACACTTCCATTCCATGTAGCAGAGAGTAGTGGCCTGCCCACAAACATCTAAAGACTGGGCAGGCTCTTAATTTAGTCTATATGTGAAAAGAAAAGTGTGCTAAAATTGCCATAGATAAAGATTAAATGAGAAATAAATGTGCTTTTGAACCATTTTGCCAGAATGATTGAATTTTAAGAAAATATGTTTTCTTTTTTATAGAAAATCTGTTTATGAGGTGTGATTTTGTTTTTTTTTCATGAGTTGGATAATCTACTCTAGTGATTTTTAAACAACCTTTGCCTTCTATGCAGACAATACTCTTGACCTCCAGAAATATTCCTGGGGTAGGAACGTTAGATGCAGTTTTAGAGGGTGGCAAGTATGCGAATGATTCTACAGACCCCCCGTCTCTAAAACATAAAATCAGACAGATGTTGCCAGTCATTTTCATTCTCCTGTTTTTCACTTCAGCATCTATTTTTGCATTGTGACCAATATAGCTATTTATTTTTTTAAGGCATAATTCACATACCCTAACATTTACTCTTTTAAAGAGCACAATTCAGTGATTTTTAGTATATTCACAAGGTTGTCAGTTGCTTGCTTTTTAATGGATGGGAAAGGACCAGTGATTCTGTTCCTGTGGGTTTTGTAACTCAAGACTCTTTGCTTGGCCCACAGCTATGTTTGGAAGAAGGACAATGTGGTCATCACTCCATCTAGCAATTCTAGAATTGTGGTGGAGAGGGATGGGTCCCTTCTCATTAGCCAGACCTGGTCAGGTGACATCGGCGACTACACCTGCGAAATTATATCTGAAGGAGGGAATGATTCCAGAATGGCCCGGCTGGAAGTGATGTGAGTACTATGGAGTTTGGTATTTACCAGTTCCTGATGATCTGCATTCAGCCAACACTCTTGCCAGGGACTGTCTCTTAATGAGTATGATGCCCGCCCTATGTCCCAAGTCAGTGGTGAGAGCACCTCATGTCACAAGCCATGTACGTTGACGAGGTTTCTGGTCTTTTTTAAAAAACTCAAAATTAAAATGTCTCATCCCTACGTAGATGGTTTGATTATTGGTTTTTGTCCCCATTAATCCCTTTTGTCCTATTTTGCCCAGTGACATTTTCTCCTAACAGGCTCTGTTTACCACACTGCATTTAAATAACAAGTTCATTTTTCCACTTAATGCCCATTAGAGCTTCCAGTGAGAAATATCAGGGTCAGCCCCTGAAGCAAGACCATTCCTAGGAAAACCAACTAGACATTGATTTTAAGTTAGTCCCAGTTGCCTCTCCATGTGTAAATAGATACTTTCCATTAAGTCTTTTGAAATCCTGAAAATAGCAAGCAGTTGCCCACCACTTCCAATCTAGACCTTCCTTGGGGTTAGTGAACCCAGGTGGGAACCACAGATCTCCTCTGTCTCTGTTCTCTCTTTTCCTCAACACCTTCTCTGTTCATGGAACATGAGACTGAAATGCCTGCTGACAAATTTTATTTTCCTGACATGTATTTATTTGCTTTTTAAAAGTTGTTCCCTCTCATATTCCCTGAGTGCATGAGTACAAAAATAAAACCTGAAAAAAAAAAGAATCGAAGTCGTGCAGTTGTCAGGGCAGCAGCCAACTCCAGTGGCACACACAGCCTGTCCGTCCCTAGCTCACATTTGACATGCTGGGCCATTAGAAAAGGCAATTTTGAGAGATTTTTCTTAACGGACTCTGCCCACCTTGAACCAGGAAGGATTCTATATACAAAAATCACTCTCTAAAAATAGAATTTGAACACTTTGCATATAGGACCCATGTCTCATTTGTCTTTGGACTCCTAGACTCCAACCAAGAAGATTAAAAATGAAAAAAAATACTTGCTAAGTGCTAAGCACGTGACCTTCTGTGTTTGTGGCATGTATGCATGAATGAGAGAACACACCAAAAGCTTTCCGCTAGCCCCTATTTGTGGAATTTAAAAGGCTAATGATGTGTAGCAGCCAATCCAGAGAGCCCTGTGATACCTTCAGTAACTGGGGGAAAAAAAAATTCCACCTCCTGCTCTGTCTTCTCTCCAGTATGACCCCTTGTTCTCTCTCTATGTTAGTCACTTGTTGGGAGTAAAAATCATCCTGGTTGGTCATGAAGTGACAGGAGCCCCTGTGACCCTAAAGTATCAACAGAGGATCCTGATACTGTGGCTGTAAGGCTGCCACACAGGTGATTCTCCAGCCTTGTAAAGTGTATGAGAGGGCCAGGTCACCTTTAGTGTGCCTCAGCCATCTGCTGCCTCTGTGGCTTAGCATGTGTCTTCTACCAGCTTCCACTGAGGACTCCTGCTCATGCATCCTTTAGGATTTAGCTGCAGGAGTGCTTCCTGCCATTCAGACACCAGGATGCCTCCTAGGGTTCTTCCCAGCACCCAGCTGATCATGCCATGGTGGATAACCATGTTTTCAGGGTTCCTCTGCCTTCTGGCATAAAAGTACCTTGATGGCACAGTTTTGCAGTTTGAGTGCCTGACAGTGTTTGGTACGCAGTAGGTGCTCAATAAATGTATGCTGGCCAGTTGGTTGGTTGAATGCATGAATGAATGTGTGTATGTTACAAGCCATTGGCAGGCCTTCTTCTGATTCTCCCTAGTACCTTCAATGCTCAAATGACTTTGGTTCCCCCATGGATCAACACACAAACACAGGTCACTCTATCAAAACTCAGGCAGGCAGTGTCCAAAGCTCTCATCCAGCTCTGTTCCTGGTTCTTTTATCCTTCCTTCTGTATCTTAGGTCAAGGATTTTTTTTTCTTCATTTTGATAATATTAGAGGACATGGCCAGTGAATTCATATAATCTATTGTGCTGTTCACATTTTTAAAGCTACCTTTGAGAACTCTTAGATCATCCATTGTTGCTATCAAATAAATAAGTGTTAGCAGTTCATAAAGACTCTGTCAGCAGAAGCCAAATTGCCTACTTCCAATATAGCACATCCTTTTTATTCTGCACAGTTTTTATGTTCTGCTGATTTACATATCTTCCCTACTATTTGCTTATTTGATTTCCTTTAAGTAAAATACATTTTTCAGCAAATGTTGCTGTATGTGTAAAATAATAGGCTTTCTGTAATGGTAAAACACCGCATCTCTAAATATAGAAATATTTGCAAATTTGTGATTCAAATCAATTTAGATACAACTGGTTACAGAACTGATTTGGAAGATAGTTGTTCCTTGTGAATTGTTAGTGTAATAAATGCTTTACTCTCCCAAATCAGCATGAATTGGGAAAGTTGTAGTCTCTACCGTGGTATGTCTTTAGAACCAAACAGGACTTGACGCTACAACATCAGTAATGACAATAGAATGATGATAATAATAATCCACGATCACAGGGCATTTTGTGCTTCTCAGAGAACCTTCCAATCAAGCTCAGTAATGTTTCCATGATTTACTCAGATGACCAAAAAAAAAAAGAGGCAAGAAAAATTTCTCATTGCAGAAGGAAGTAAGAGGTACTTATAGCTAAACAGTGTCCTTCAAAAGAGCTGAAGACCTGTTTTCTCCTTTCCTCTATACTTCAGTTAAAAGCTACTTTGTTAAATATAGAAATTAGAAGCCTTAAAAGCGAGCTTTTCAAAAAACAGACTGTCTGTTGTCCTGATCTTATGTTTGGTTGCTCCATGTTTAGTGCTAAATTTAGTCTCACTTAAACCTGGCTGGAGGGGCACCCAGCTCTCACCTACGATAGTCCCAGTGTGGCTACTAGTCAAAAGTGGTGCCACCATGAGTGAGGTTGAACAGGAGACCCTGCCCACCTCTGTGTAACCCAGACAAGTCACCTCACTTCTCAGTCTCCTTCTTCTTGCCTTGTAGACTGGAAGTGATATCATTTACCTTAACAGATGGTCACAAGGGTTGCACCAACCAGTATCTGTAACATGTTGGCATGGAACCCAGCTGAGGATGGGCACTCTAAAACTTGGCTCTTACTGTTTCCTTACCATCTTATCAAAGAATGCCGTTCCTTCCTTCAGCAACTGCACGCTCACCTCCTAGGGCCAGGAAGTTTCTAGCCCCTTTAGCCTAGTTTATTTTTAACCGTGTTCTTATGACCATCTAACACTAGATACCAAATGTGTCTGTTTGCTGCTGAGCCCTCAATGTCTGGAGCAGAGCCAAGTATACAGTAGGGACCCAATAAATGTCTGAGCAAACCTCACTCTATGCATCAGGTTAAAACGGGATGGTATATTTTGCACCACTGAGAAGGACTAATTTATGAGGGCTCTCCCTTAATCCCCTCCCTGAGAGAAGAGGCTTCTAAAATTCCAGATGGTTTCATGATGCGTTCTGTAAATTAACAACACAGGTCATCGTTAAATGTTGGTCACCCTTTGTTTTAGTAGTGTCTTTCCTACTAGTTGGGTAGTGCCATGAGGGCAGGAGCCAGTCTTTGGATGAATCCATATCCCCCAAAGCATCTCGCTGTGTTGAACACACCAAAGGGACCGGGCTCCTAAGGATTTATGGATTGATTAATTGTTAAATCATTTAAAGACCCAATTAGCACTGCATTTGTCCTCCTGAAAGCAGAGACTAATTCTCATGAGCCTGGAGTATAGAGAAAACCCAATTTACAGAGCTGACTTGAAGACACGGACCCTGAGGCAGTGGGAGAAGTTTCTTTCTATAAAACCACTTCTGACAAAGCCATAATAAGGAGTGAACAATTTAATACCGTTTCCCCAGAGTTATCAAGCCCCCATCATCTTCATCCTCAAAGTGAAGTCGAAGAAGATGGTTTTGACCAAGTCATCATTTGGGCATTAAAGGGCCAATGCTTTTGATATTAAAAAAGTACTTATCTGATCCTCTCCTGTGAGAGCAATTCCCCCCTACAGCCACAATTTTAGCAATTGCTTTCTCTTGAGTCTTTTTCAAAACTGTTTTTTTCACACACTCTTCGCTTAATCTCTTTCCCCGTACAGTTGAGTTTCTGTATTGTTGTTCTTAATTTCTGATATTATTGTGGTGTAATTTGCTGGATGGTGATTCCCCCCCATTCTCTTTAAATTACAGTGACTCAGCACTGGGCTTCATTTCCATTGTTCTCTGGGGCCTCTTTCATTTGTCACCCTGTCTGCTTATCACTGTCTGTGAGTCACTCTGCTGATCATTTATCTCCTTTCAAAGTTGGCAGAGAAATGCTGAGATGCAATCTATTCCTATTAGATACGATTTTCTGAAATGGGTTCAGAATATACTAAAGCCTCATTTATCCGTTATTGATGGGTTAGTCAAAGATGTCACAAAGCTTGATTTTCCAAATAACCAAAATTTATCATTTAAAGAAATAGTTTATATTTCTAATATGAGCTGTACCTTGTTTTGTTGCATTTTGTAGATGCTGCATTTTTTTTAACATATTGGAGGTTTGTGGTAACCCTATGTCAAGCAAATCTATTGGCACCCTTTTTCAACAGCATGTGCTCACTTCATGTCTCTATGTCACATTTTGGTAATTCTCATAGTATTTCCAATTTTTTCATATTATTATGTCTGTTATGGTGATCTGTGATCAGTGATCTTTGGTGTTACTATTGTAATTTTTTGTGGACACCATGAACCATGCCTATATAAGGTGGCAAACTTAATCGACAAGTGCTGTGTGTACCGAATGCGCCACCAACCAGCTGTTTCCTGTCTCACTCCCTCTCCTTGAGCTTCTCTGTTCCCTGAGACACAACAGTACTGAAAATAGGCCAATTAATAACCCTACAATGGCATAAGTTGTCAGGTGAAAGGAGGAGTCATAAGTCTCTCACTAAATCAAAAGCTAGAATGGCAGTTATCAATAACTCAAA